GGAGGGGAGGGGAGGGGAGGGGAGGGGAGGGGAGGAGGACGAGGAGAAGAGGAAGGAACCAGGGCTCCCGGAGCCCGAGGTGCCAGCGTGAACTGTTTTAAATGGTTGACTTGAAAATGTCACCAATGCTAAGTGGCTTTTCGGATTGTCTTATTTATGACTTTGTCAGGTTTCCTTAAGGAGAGGGTGTGTTGGGGGTGGGGGAGGAGGTGGAAGGGGGAAACCTTCGCGCTTCTCCTCCCCGGGCTGCGCTGGGTGAGTCGGAAACGCCTCGCTGCCACTTTACAATCCCTCTATTAGTAAATCGACGCAGAGACTCTACAGGAAGCCGAGCACCAGTCTCCCCTTTCAGGGCAGAAGTCACCTGTTGGGAACCGCTCCCGGGTCCCCTTGCCGGGCTTTCTGGCTCTTCCAGGCTGCCAGGAGTCCCTCTCAACCCTCCACCCCGCGTCCCCCCGGGGCTTTTCACACCTTCCCCCACTACCCTCGCCGGTTTCCACCACAATCCCCCAGGGCTCAGCGCTATATTATAGCCTCGCGGGTCTTCTCATTCTCTCCTCTTCTCTCCTTCCTCTTGCTCTGTCACAATTTCCTCGATGCTTTCGCCTCTTTAAACCAAAGAGGAGGAAAAAGCATTCTGAGCAAATGTATCCTAACGAAAAGCAAAGAAAACAATTCATGTAGCCCTCCCCACCCACGGAGTGTACCAGGATGCACGCAGGCTCCATCTTAGGGCCGTGCGAAGAGCCACGGTGGTCGCACTTTTGGGCCAAGAGATATTGCAAAAGAGGAGAGAAAATACTGGGGGTACAGTTCCACGTCCCCATCACTTGCTCCCCCTCCGCAACAACTCGTCTTTTACACCCAAGCATTTGGGGTTCGTGGTTAAAAATGTCTTTTATAAAACAGGATGTGGGTTTGGAGGGGAATGTGGTACATTAAAACCAGTACCCAGGTCTGCCCGAGGGCGCTGGTAATTCTGGTTCAAAAGCAGCTCCTGGCTGCTCTGAAGAAGAAAGAGAAAGCAAGACCCAGAAAGAAGAAAAACAAATAGCTCAATGGTTGCTGAAGGACTTCAGGACGCGTTATCTGTCTGAGGACACCTCTTTTCACACCGACAAGATCCGGAGAGGACTTCAGGATGTTTCCAGCGTGCAAAATATGCAGGCGCCCACGTGTGGCCTCCTCCCCCGCACTCGGGGGCGGAGGTCCCCGAAAGAGGCTCATTGAGCGCGTCCACGAAAGCAGGGCGACAGGGGTGAGCCCACCTCTTAACAGGGCGCCCTTGCCCTGTAGAGGAGCATCTAGGCCCGGGCGGTCTGGAGTGGGAACGGGTTGGAGCTGGGGCAAGTAAACTCGACTCCAGGCTGAAACGTGACATGCAAATCTTCACCGGGTTAAACAAACAGCCGAGCAAGCTGCAGCTTCAGCGGGGGTGGCGGTGGGGGCGGACGCGGCTCGAGCCGGTCTCTGTTTCCAAAGTTGTTACAATGTGAAAATAAGCGGCTTCGTGCAGCGTGTTGTATGGGCTGATGCCTCCCACCTCCACGCCAGCCCCCAGCGAAACCCGGCAGATAATCAGCACGTCCCACTGTTTAGTCACATTTGACAACTGGGTTAACCTGGTATCTAGGCGCTAGCGAAACGGTACAAAAGGTGCCCTCAATTACCGCCAGAAGCTTCTGGTGTGAGTGGCACTTGTATTACCCTCCGGGTCAGAGGCCAGAGCGACAATTAGGAAGTCCCTTAGACCGCTAGAGGAAATGGCGAGATGCAGCAGGCTCCAGGCCCTCCCAACAAGTCTGAGGGTATAAACTTGGACGGAGAGGCCTATTTCTCCTCTCGGAGGAGCTGTCCCTTTGCGCCCTCTCCTCAATGCGACTCTGAGAGTAAAACTGAATCCAGTGGAAATAAGGAATTGAGTAGAAGACGACAGACAATGATAAAATCTCGATCGAAAAGGATGGATTCCAGCTGAAGCTGTGCTCCGCAGGCGAAAGCCTGGGCACACAAAGTGATCGTTGACATTTCCGTCTCCACTTGGGCCTTGCTAGTGCGGCCTCCACCTCCGCGCCCCCTCCCCTCCTGCCTCCCTTCCCACAAAGTGGACAGTGGAGTAGGACTGTGGGTCCTAACTTGCATTATCTCGGGGTGGTTCGGGGGGCTTGTGGCTCGGTCTCAACGGTACTTAAACCTGGCTCGGTGCACGTGCGTGTAAATTTTTAATTGCACTGTAATTTCTTCGGTCCCTAGCCCGCGACCCCCCTACCTCGCTAGCCGCCTTGACTGGCACGCGCCGGGAGCCCGGGCTCTGGCCCCTCGGCGCGTCTGATTGGCTGCGGGGCAGCTCCCGTCTGCTCTGCCTGCGCCCTCATTGGGCGAGAGGCGCAGCCAGCGGCACTTCAAAGCGGGTGCTCCCCGCACTTAGGCTGAGTTTAGCCGGCGGGAGCCCGGAGTCCGCTCGGCGCTGGCTCGGGGACGCGGGAGCCGCGCGCGACCCGAGCAGCTTTCCCGAGCAGCCGCCAGGCTCAGCCCCGCTCCCGGCCCCGCCGCGCAGCCGAGGGACCTGCTATGGCCACGTCTATACTCGGGGTAAGTCAGAAGTGCGGCAACGCATTTGCTTGTTTTAACTGAAGTAATTTTTCGTTACGGTCTCTCCGGCTCCGCGGCTCCGGAGAAACTGTTGCTGCCGGACTGCAGCTTCAGCTTTTAGCACTTTCCACATTTCTGGGACTTATTCTTTCCAAGTTATTGGAACCTAGGAGATGCCTTTGTAAGAAAATGATTTGTTAAGCAAGTCCTTTTTTATTTGGTTTTAAAGAAAACCTAGAGGTTTCTTTTCTTCCTCTCGCGCTTTTATACCCCGTCCCCCCTTGCTTCGGGGATTGTTGCAATTACGCGACAGTGGTGTTTCCAGAAAACAGCCTTAATCGTTTTGCAGTCCATGTAGTCACGTTAACAAACATTCACACTTCTGTGGCTCCCCAGCTCGCCTGTGACTTTGAAATCCATCTCTGGTTCTCTTTTCCGCGGATTCTGGTTTTCATAATCGGGTTACTTGTGTTATGTGTGTGTAAACATTAAAAACGTTTTCTATTAAAAAGGCAGAGAGTGAAGTCGTAGCCACCCTTGAAAGGAGTGCCCTCAAGTTTCCCCTGCCCCTGGGCCGCTGCTTCGGCCGTCTCCGCCCTCACCCGGTGTTTATTGTCGATGTTTACCTCCGTGCTTCACCCCGAAGGGCGGCTGGGGGGCTTCTGTGAGAGGAGCGGGCTTACGGCGAGCGGAAGGCGAGCAACCCGAGTCCGGTTCTGGGCAAGGGTTGCAGCGACTGAGGCGGGGAGAAACGCGGCATCTTTGATTTGTAGCCCCACTGAAGAACAACTTTCCGGCGCCAGGACCCTCAGCGCACTTGCGATCGCCTCTGCCCCGCGCGGGGCTCGGCGCATCCTCGGGGAGAGCGCGGGGAGGAGGCGCGGGCCGGGGAGCCACGACCCCCCGGGGGCAGCCGCGGGGGGACGAGGCTGCTCACGGGTGCACTTTGTGTCTTCCTCCCACTTCTTCCTGCCCTCCTCCTCCTTGCTCCCTCCCCCACCCCACCCACTCTAGGAAGAGCCGCGCTTCGGAACGACCCCGTTGGCCATGCTGGCGGCGACCTGCAACAAGATCGGCAACACGAGCCCGCTGACGACGCTGCCGGAGTCGAGCGCCTTCGCCAAGGGCGGCTTCCACCCCTGGAAGCGCTCCTCGTCCAGCTGCAATCTCGGCTCCAGCCTCTCGGGCTTCGCGGTGGCCACCGGCGGCCGCGGCTCGGGCGGCCTGGCGGGCGGCTCGGGCGCAGCCAACAGCGCCTTCTGCCTGGCCTCCACGTCCCCCACGTCGTCCGCTTTCAGCAGCGACTACGGCGGCCTCTTCTCCAACTCGGCGGCGGCCGCGGCGGCGGCGGCCGGGGTGTCCCCGCAGGAGGCGGGCGGCCAGTCGGCCTTCATCTCCAAGGTGCACACGACGGCGGCCGACGGCCTGTACCCGCGCGTGGGCATGGCGCACCCCTACGAGTCGTGGTATAAGTCCGGCTTCCACTCGACGCTGACGGCGGGCGAGGTGACCAACGGCGCGGCGTCGTCGTGGTGGGACGTGCACAGCAGCCCCGGCTCGTGGCTGGAGGTGCAGAACCCCGCTGGGGGGCTCCAGAGCTCGCTGCACTCGGGCGCCCCCCAGGCCTCGCTGCACTCGCAGCTCGGCACCTATAACCCCGACTTCAGCTCGCTCACGCACTCGGCCTTCAGCTCCACGGGCCTCGGCTCCTCGGCCGCCGCCGCCTCGCACTTGCTCTCCACCAGCCAGCACCTGCTGGCCCAGGACGGCTTCAAGCCGGTGCTGCCCTCCTACTCGGACTCCAGCGCCGCCGTGGCGGCCGCCGCCGCCAGCGCCATGATCTCGGGCGCCGCGGCCGCCGCCGCCGGGGGGAGCTCGGCGCGCTCTGCCCGCCGCTACTCGGGCCGCGCCACCTGCGACTGCCCCAACTGCCAGGAGGCGGAGCGGCTGGGCCCGGCCGGGGCGAGCCTGCGGCGCAAGGGCCTGCACAGCTGCCACATCCCGGGCTGCGGCAAGGTGTACGGCAAGACGTCGCACCTGAAGGCGCACCTGCGCTGGCACACGGGCGAGCGGCCCTTCGTGTGCAACTGGCTCTTCTGCGGCAAGCGCTTCACGCGCTCGGACGAGCTGCAGCGGCACCTGCGGACTCACACGGGCGAGAAGCGCTTCGCCTGTCCGGTGTGCAACAAGCGCTTCATGCGCAGCGACCACCTGAGCAAACACATTAAGACGCACAACGGGGGCGGCGGGGGCAAAAAGGGCAGCGACAGTGACACGGACGCCAGCAACCTGGAGACGCCCCGCTCCGAGTCCCCCGACCTCATCCTGCACGACTCTGGCGTCAGTGCCGCCCGGGCGGCTGCAGCGGCGGCGGCGGCGGCGGCGGCGGCCTCGGCGGGAGGCAAAGAAGCCGCGTCTGGCCCCAACGACTCCTAGAAGCCGGGCGAGAGGCGCGAGCGAGCGAGCGAATAGAGACAACGAGAGCGAGCGAGAGGTTCGGAGGGCGAGCGAGCGGGGGCTGGACGGGCGGGGGCTCCACAGATGCCCCCGGGCCGCGCGAGGGGGAGCAGCGCCCGGCTCCCGGGACGCTGCTCGCCGGCCACGCCGAGAGCCCCCCTCTGCATCCGAGCCCGGACGGGGATCGAAGGCGTGGTCCAGGAACAAAAGCGAACCATCCTCCGACACAAACAACACTTTAAAAAACTGCACACACAGACACACACACGCACCGGAGACCTACAACCACAAGCACGCACACTTGCGCGCGCGCGCACACATACATACCACTCGCACAAACTTCTCGAGCGAAGAGCAATACACAGAAACGCTCCCTCCTCCCCCACCAACCACCCCCTCCACTATTCTCTTTCCTTTTCTCAAAAAGCAAGCCACCACCCGGCAAAGGACTGTCAGAACATTTGAAAACAAACGGGACCTATACAAACAGACCCTTTGTGTGGATTATATTATATATAAAATGCTCCAAGTCCTGCTTGATATCTACTTACAATGAGACTTTTTTTTCCTAAAAAAGGAAGCATCAAAAAAGGCTTAAGGTGAGAAATTAAACTGGAAGTCTAGTGACAGTTTCTCTGTATTTCATAACATCTGTATAAATAGGGTTCAAAAGATTGTGTTCTCTTTTATTTTCTTGTAAATGTTCATTCGAATAGAGGTTTTTTTTTTTTTTGGTGAATTCCTGAAATTCAGGGAGTTTTTTTTTTTAATTTTCTGATGCACTTTGTGAAAGTCAGTATATATGTAAAAGATATTTAAAATGTTGAGTTATCATTTCACTCACAAACACGTAAGTTAAGGTCATCTAAAGAAATTAAATGCGTTTATCTGTATGAAAAAAATCTTGACATCACATTTTCATTTTGGTATTAAAGGACTCTGAACAATACACTTCCTATTTTTTTAATCCTGTTCTCCCCTCAATAACCTTTATGTGGGTCAACTATTTTTGTTGGGGAAAAAAATCCCTTAATGTTAGTTTTAGGTAATGTAAGGTTTATGTGAGTTATAAAAGCCATACTACATATACGTTTTTGAGAGGTCAACATTATTTATTTGTATATCAACAGCGTAAATTAAATTGGGTTATAAGAACGTGTAGTTGTATTACTTAATGGGAGAGCTCTCAAAAGGTGACATTTTAAAACTCTGGAGCACCTCAAAAAAAAGCAGAGGTCTTTGGCAGCTTTAAGTGGGGAGGTGCCTACACCTCCCAGAGGGGTCAGACAAAACTTCAGTGGGTTTGTTTGTTTTTAAAAAGAGATTTGAAAACAATCTGTGAAAGGAGAAAGCTTTTTTAAAAGAAGACTTTTAGCTCCCAAGGCCCTCTATGTTGGGAGGCGACTCAGGGGAATAAATCGCTAGAGTCAATACCCCGGAAAAGACATTTCATGCCTAAATGAAAATCTTGTTAAATGTTATTAATTTTGACTTAGAGCACACAGCAGCCCCCTGTGCCTTGTATTCCCTTATTAGGGATTCATGTCTTATCAAATATCTAATTAATCTCCTAGACATCATTTGTTCTGGCCAACTTTATCTCAGCTGGTCCACGGGGAAAACTCCAAATATTCTCCGTGACAAAGCTCCCTTGAAGATCTTTTTAATTGTCTAAATTAACTGCACCAAATTTGCATGTCAAACGGTAAAGGGCAACCTGAGATAAAATGTAAACGTTTTAAAAGCCCCCAAACTAAGCACTTGATTTGATAACTAGGCTTTTTAATGTTATGGAAGACAACTGCTTCTTTCCTTTTCAAAGAGGGCTGATCTATGCAAATAGTGAATTGGAAATGCCTAGGTCCCCGCGCAGTCAAATGGCCCTCGCAGGTTATTTGAATATCAGTGGCGCTGCTTCTGAAAAGGTTCAAGGATGCTCTCTGACTTCTTTGTGATTACTCAGTGCGGCGTCTTATTCTGAAGAAAAAAAACTCAGGAATAATTAAAGGCTGGGATCAGGCCTGGGAACACATTTGGGACAGGAATCTCATTTAGACAGTCTCTTTCAAAATAAGGCACAGTTAAATTGACCAGAAGGCAATTATTGAAATGAAAATTATTTTCACTCTCTTTGTCTTTCTGACCACCAACTTAACAGCCCCAGTTTAAAAGAGAGAGAGAAGAGAGGGGGAGATGAAAAGAAAATTGGTGAATGAGATAATTTCGCAATTCAAAAAAATGTTAATTTAGAAAATCAAGTACATATTTACAGAATAAAAATATTTCTAAAAGGCTCCCCACACAATAGGAAATAAAAAGTCAGCCCTGATGGAAATTTTTTTTTTTTTATGACTGTCTGTCTTGGGAACTTGAATGAGGGTTTTGATTTTTAGGGAAGAAAAAATAAATTATTGTTATTAGCAATCAACGAAATGTTTTCCCGCAAACTCCGCCCTGAAAAGCCAAGTAGCAAAGTAGTGATCAACATAGAGCGAAGGTCCCCAGAGGGTCGTCTGCAGCCTGAGGTTCCGTGGCTTCTTCCCTCTCCTCGTTCGTGCGGTCCCCGCAGCCTCGGCTGCCCGGCTCTTCCTCGAGATTTCCTTTTCTTTGGCCATTTTCTTTCCTCGCTCAAACAGTTCATAACCGGGACAGCCCCCCCCTCCCCCGCCTTCTGGTTCAGGTCTGTCTTCCGGAGGCGCCGCAGGGGTGCGTTTACCCCGGGGGTTTTGGGCCGAGGCCCCGGAGGCCGAGAGGGTGCCCGGCGCTTTTGGGGGCTGCGGGCCGCGGCGCGGGGCCGAGGGTGTGGCGGGTTTTCCCGAGGACCGAGGGCGCCCGGGCGTCTGTCCCAGGCAGCTTTGTTTCTCGCGGATAATAAAGGCAGATCAAAGGGCCTGGCGGTGCAGGTCCCGCTCGCCGCGCCGCTCCCTGCGCAGCCCAGTGATCAAGGCCTCTGCGCGCTGCCTCTGCCCCGCGGGTCAGCAGACGTCCATCACCGCGCTCCCGGAGCGGCGCGCGGCGGCAGGGCCCGGGCGGCCAGCAGGCAGACCAGAGCTCGGGAAACCTGAACCCGAGGGAGCGAGGGCCCTGCCCCCGGGCCGAAACCAACAGGCGAAGACGGACCCCAGCCCTCGTCCCCAACTCCGCAGCCCTAGGGGACCCTGGGGGCGCGGGGAGACCTTGACCGGAGCGGGGGCGACCAGCTGAGGCCGAGCACCTTGGAGAGCGCGTGCGTGGGAGGAGAGAGCCCACGAACGACCAGACGAGTTCAGCCTCCACCCCAGATGGGGCTGCGTCTCCCCGGGGCCACCTCGGGGCTCCGGCGGCCTGGGCCGCCTTGGCTCCGGGGCCCGCGAGGAGCGGGAGGCCGCGGCCAGGGGTCAGGGCGCAGACGAGGGCAGCGGCCTGGGGGTCGGTGTGGGGCTGGGGCCGCGGCCTGGGGTCGGGGGGCGCGGAGGCCCGCTCAGGCCCGGGTGAGGGGAAGTGCGATTTCGTCTCAGCCGGTTTCTCCACCGCTTTCGGTTCTGGAGCTTCCTGCGCAGACGAGGAACCAAGACCAAGTGGTCCTTGGCCCTGCGCCTGCCCATCCCCAATCCACACGCGCCCCGGGCGGTTTCCTTCTTTGACTCTCTACATTTTCCCCTTTGGAGTGAATAGGATCCTACCTGATGAGGAAAAAGAAAAAAAGGAGAAAAGAGAAAGATGTTCTTTCCTCAAAGAGAGAAAACATTATTTGGACGAGATTAGATTGTGCACCTGAACGGCGTGTCTGGACATTCCGTCAAATCCTTATAAGTCGTGTAAAATGGAATTTCTTTTTATTCAGATGGAAACTTTATTTATTTTAACTCTAATCTTATTTGCATCTATTATCTGTATTCACCAAGGCACTCTCCCACTACAAAAATGCAGATGAAGTAAATCTCACATAAATCCCGCCCATTTGTGTAATTGGTATACTAAGTGTTTATTTTAAGTGAGAATAATTTAGCTACAAATTTTCTTAAGGAATAACATTCTTAACACATTAAAAAAACTGAAAACTCTGATTTGCTTTTATGTTTGACAGTCGCTCTTGATTCCCTTAAGAGGAGCTCGGCGAGTGCGGCTCGCTGGCGCCATCTAGAGCCCCGGGCCGGGAAGGGCGCGCTGGCCGCCCGGCTCGCCGCTATTAGCGCAGGGAGACCGGCGTTGGCCGGCAGCTGCAACAACCCAGCGAAACCAGCGAAGGAAAGCGAGTTTTTGTGTTCTCGGGGACCGAGCCCCGCTCTTGGGGGGGCAGTGCTTAGCAACGGCCGGTATTACTGCTCCCAGGGAAAGAGGTCGTTTCTGGAACATGCTAACTGAAAATCCAAACAAAATAACGTCCTGCTTGGCCCTAGTCTTAGAATTGTCGCATTTAACATCCCTTTCAAGGCAACTTCAGGGCCTCCCAACTCGAAGTTGAGCACGCTGGGTGCTGTCGGCGGCGACGTGAACCCCGGGTGGGGACCCGGCCGTGGGCGCGGCCTCCCGCGGTCTGCGCCCAACGACCCCGGATCCGAGGGCTCCAGGTCGGCGAGGCCGCGTGGACTATCCGGGACCGACTGGAACCAAGCAGATTAAACTGGGCAACCAGACCGTCGCAGGTCCCCAGACCCCCCTTTGCGGGGCAGAGAAGCGAGGGACCCGCAGCTTCCACCAGCCCGGCCCCGGGGGTGGCCGAAGCGTCCTCCCGCCTCGTGCCCTCCTCCAGGCCCCCGTCCCCCCGAGTCGGGCTCTGGGGGCTGCGAGGCAGGCCGGGCCGGGAGGGGCGCGCGGAGCCCCCGAGCGCGGCCAGAAGCCCCGAAACCCCTCACCCCAGCCCCTCCGAAGGGTCCGCGCACCCTGCCGGCGCAAACCCACCCCTTTTGTCCCCACTTTTCCCCTCTGAAACCCAAATCTAAAATCGGATAACAGTTGGGGGCGTTGACCAATTTTCTCTGCTCTCTGCGCGTCGCCCT